CAGGTCATTGATAAAGGCCCAGAAATTAGAATATAAAATTAGAGTCATGTTTTCATTTATAGCTTTGGCAGAAGACATAGAAAACACTAAAATGAGCCATTTTCCCTCCTTAGGCATACAGAAATTTCAGAAGGAAAAAGCTGTAAACTTTACTGTGAAATGTGATGTGATTGTAAAATTTCAAGACAGATACTCCAAAAGCTGTGATTTGTATTAGGTCAGTATATTAGTTTGCTGTTGTTGTGACAAAATACCTATGACAATCATGTTAAAAGGAGGAAAGGTTTACTGAGGCTTGCAGTTTCAGAGGTTTGAGTCCATAGTCAGATGGCTCCACTGCTTTTGGTCCCATGGTGAAGCAGAACATCATGGCAGCCGATGTGATAGAGCAAAGCTACTCACACCGTGGTGGCCAATAGACACCATGAAGGAGGGGCCAGGGTTCCAATATCCCTTCCAAGCTGCCCTGATGACCTAACTTCCTTCCATGAGGCCTCACCTCCCAAAGCTCCCACCATCTTCCAATAGCATCATCCACTGGGGACCACTCTTTCAGTACATGAGTTTTTAGGGAACATTTAAGATTCAAACTAAGTAAGTGACTTCCATCATAGAGTCAAATCAGAAATCTGTGATCAAGACTTAAAGTAGCTACTTAGTGTAGCCATGAAACTTATAAATGCTCTGTGTTTCTTCAGCATGCATCACATTGTTTTACACCTCTTTACTTTGAATTATGTGCACTGTTTGCTCTATTAGTCTTTTCAAGAATGTGCTCAAATGTCACCTTATCAGAGGGTTTCCTGGACCTCACTACATGCAATAGCAAACATGCTCATTATACAGCCCCCCAAAACATCCTCTTCTTCCCCTTTACCTACACTTCTTTTCTTCATAGAATTTATCACACTTGATAGACATTTATTTGCTCATGGTCAAACTGGAACATATATACCACAAAGGCAGGGGATTTATTGTTACTTTTATTTCCAGACCTTAGAACAGTGTTTAGCATTGTAGTAAATGTACAATAAATGTGTATTGAATGGATTTATCTGATTGCTGGATTAGAAGAGGATGCCCAAATGTGAGATTTGCACCTTGTAGAAGCTGAGGCAGAAGGATTACATGTTTGAACCTAACCAGTCAAGTTAGGGACTCGGTGAGACTCTGTCTCAATAACAAAAAATAGACAAGGGTAGGTTTGTAGCTCAGTGTGAAGGCCCTGGATTCAGACCTGATCCCCACTACTGCAAAAGGTTGGAATGTAAGGGTGTTACATTTTATAAATATTTCTTTAAAATAGGGCAGATAAAAAAGAAGCATTTTAGTTGAATTTGGGGAGGCAATCATTGGCTTTTAATTTTGTGCTAAAAATTGGAAGTCTGAGCACCATCATAAATCCTTACTAGCTTAATTTCCTATCACATAGTGATAATATATTCCATGAAGTAAATTTGAGCACTACAGAAAGTGGCTTCTGCTACTCCTTTAATCAAACTGTTACATTTTAATAGGACAAATTCATTCAGTTTCATTCTAAATTTCAATTTCTTCTATGTGACTTAATTATAGCAGTTAGCAAATGAAGTTACCTGATAGTAAAGATATAGTTATCCCTTCCAGGTAAAAGCAGACTGCTACCCTAGTAACTACTTCCTGTTCCTCCCAGTAATGGCTCCAGGAATCTATATTTGAGAATGTTTCAAACAATAAACAAGTGACCTGTAATTACTGACTTACAGTCTTAATTTCATTTTCATTTACCTAAGACTTCCACCAAGTGGGACCATCCTTTCCCAGGTTAGTTCTTGTGTACATTGTTTATTTATCTCTTTATTTATTTATTTATTTCTAATTTGTCCCTTGTCCTCAGCCAAGAGAAATGCAGGTTTAAATCTCTGAGAGGAGCAAAGCTTTTTCCTCTAATTGTAATGAGAAGAAAAGGCAGCAGCCCCTGACTCCAGGGACTTGTCTGGCACTCAAGCTGGGCCATGTACCCCTATTGTAAATAAACAATTTCATAAAAAAGGAGAATGTCACTCTGAGATCATCATAAATTGAGCAAGTTTCTTTTGAACCCACAAAATACAAAATATCCTTCTTCTCTAAAGTGAGCAGCTGCTACTTTTTAAAAACCGTTGACAGCTTTGTGCTTAACTCAGCTCTCCTTGTGGATGAGTTTTATTGAGGTCGCAACCAGAGATCCAGAATAAAACCTTGCCTTCTTAGATTCTCCCTCAAATTATCCAACTAAAGCCAAGATCCTACAGTAGTTTCTTTCAAAACCATTGACTGAGAAGCCCATAGTTCCTAGGGTGTGGATTTTCCCTGCTGCAATGAGTCTAGATCGAGATTGTCCAGTTGTTGTCATGTCCCTGGTCACCTCTGGCTGGAGGCCACTGACAGCCTCACTGGCAGCAGCTGAGGGTATTCTTCCCCCTTCACCCCAGGAAGTTCTCTCAGCGCTGGAGACCCATGAGGCTTTATGCCAAACGTCACTCTAATGCTACCAACATCAGTTAGCTGCTTACCTTTTTACACTTTATCTCAGTTTTCAGTGAGTCTTTGAGATTGAAGTCTGTTCTGGGTGTCCAAAGCAACTTATACACAAGCTCATGGTGTCAGTAGCTTTATGGTTCAATGTCAAAAATATAATTAAAACTTACTTTCTTTGTAGCAGTTTATCTCCAAGGCTACAAAGATAGCTAGAATAAAAGGAGACTTTTTTTTTTTTTAAAGGGGGTCCTCCCTCTCCTTTATTACCTCGGTGGAGTGTGAAGTAAGTTAGGATCTCTTCCCTAGTTCCTGGCTTCTGCTGAAAGCACAGACCCTACAGGCACCAGGTCTTGCCCTAAGCGTAGCAAGCTGCATACACTTGGGCCCTGGACTACCTGTGTTGTTCAGGAAGGGATTTGGTCTTCTTTCTATAAAGTGGGGCCTCTTCTAGATCCCTTCATAGATTGTATATTGTGCCTTAAATAATTTTACCCTTCCACCCCCCCCACCCCCGCTGTTGGGCACTATTTCAGATTTTCAGTTATTATAATTTTGGCAGGCTGTGAAAATGAATTTTATGTCAAAATTTAGGCAGTTCATGGAAAAGTTTTTTGGTACCCACTTATACATACTTCTCAATTAATAATTTGATAATAATTAATAATTTGAGTTCACATTTAGTTCAGGTGAACAGAAGTAGCCTTTTAACGGCTCTCAGGTGCACATATAGTATTTGTATTAATATAAACCTTAGTTCCTGACACATCATCACTTTGTTGTTGCTGTTGTTTATTGTTTTATTCTCGATAACTTTTTGGGTTTTTATTTGAGACAGGGTCTCATTATATAGTTCCGGCTGGTCTTGAACTCACTATGTAGCTCAGTCTGGCCTTGAACTTGCAGAAATCCTCCTGCCTCAGCCTCCCAAGTGCTATAGGCATGTGCCACCATACCTGGTGGTGTTGCTATTGTTTAAACTAGCACTGTTTTCCTCCCTTTATTTACCTTTTATTTATCTACTCATTAATTTATTCTATTTATTTCTAATATAATGAGGATTTGTGAAACCAACCCAAGACTAGAACATGCACAATTCAACTGCTCAAACTCATATCAAAGAAATGCTTCTTTTAGCTATCATTGAAAAGAACAAGAATCCAAATGCAAAGTAACATTTTTCTGGTTTCTCCATTTAGATGAGGAGTTATTTTGTGTATGCTTGTAGTTGGAAGAACTACATCTTGGAATTTGAGGATCATCCTCAGTTCCTACCCTACCAAACTGTAAGATTCACCCAAACAGTGTGAGTCAAAGAAGCCCTTCGCAAAGTGGAAGCCAACAGGGATCCAAAGATTTTGCAAGGTGTGGAGAACACGGGAGGGAAGCAGTCTTGAAAGATGCAATATGGTATGTTATGTTGTTGGCAAAACTAGTGGGCATCTAAGGTCATTTTGGGTACATAAATTAGGTGAGGTTGTGACTTTGAGTGAGGATATTGACTAAGGCACTAAGTATGTCAGGGCTTGATTTTATGAAGAACACATAGGAAGGATTTCTGATAAATGCTCCTATGAAAGATTGGCTGTTAAGGCCAGTGCTCATTTGAGAGCTCCAGTTGACCCTGGGAGTTAGACAATGGCATATTTCAGTTCCTTTTACAGGAATGCAGACTGAGCTGTGTTGTAGAATTTATAAAAGAATTTGGGTTATTTGTGTGACAGTAACAATCTGGGAACCTGTCTAATTCGTGAGAGTAAATCTCTGATCCAGATCCTGATGCACAGTATATAGGGGAGACAGTAACTCAGTAAGAAAAGGACTTTGTACAAATATTTATCTTCAGCTAGAAATGTTAGTGGGGTTGGAGTAGGAACGGCTACTAAGAGAGTAGGAATAGCAGTACATAAAAAACTTGGTGGCCTGACAACTTCTATTAGTTGAAGGTGTCTCCCTAGTACAGGGGAAAATAGCTGAAAATAGATTAGAATGTGCAGGGGAAACGGGAAAGAACATAACAAGGGACTGACAGATGGATGGAAATCCTCCCATGCCAGCTGGCTGCATGTAAGACTGTAACTTGTTACAGCTGGTAAGTGATTAGGAGAGTAGAAAAGCTTTCAGCCCCATACGGGTCTTCTTGAAGTGTTTCCTAGAATAGGGACAGGCATCATAAGCCTTTGGAGAGAACATCAGTTTATAGACTTCACCAGTGCCTTCTCAAACATTCTTCATTCAACAAATACTATGAATCTGCTAGACGGTAAGCACAATCACCAGACAGGCTGAGACCAGCATAGGGCTTTGTTTTTGTGGAATACCTGTAGAAACAAGAGAATGTAAAGGGTGTTTGAATAATTGTCGTATATTTAGTGTGGTTGGTACTGGAGAGGAATGGAGACTTGATGTGTTCGAAAGTTAGGTGAATCCAAACACCTGAGACCCTTTCAAGCCATGGGAAGGGTTTGGATCAACTGAATCTTAGTCAGTGTGAAGCCATGAAATGATTTTTATTTGGATTTATTAAAAATTTTTTCAAAGTAATATTACATGCACAAGGTAAAAAATTAAATAGTACAGAAAGACTTAAAATGAAAAACACAATTTGCCACCCCACCCTTTTTTAATGCTAGTCTCATTCCCTAGATGCTTTAAACAATATCTATTTTGGGGTCTTCCACTAACTAACTTCCTAACTTTAAATAATATGTTTGAACAATAATTTCTTGATTATTAACTTTAGATAATCTTTAATAATTTCTCATTACAAAAGATAAGGATTTAACTTAAACTATTCCCACTTCTCCTTTATCCATCCTTCCCCAAATGTTTGATAGATATGTCACTTTAAATAATTTCATTGGTTTATTTTACACTAATTATCTAGTTCTTATCCCCTGAACTAAAGACCTTACCTTTTCATCCCCACTTTGAGTATATAAGTAGCCACACTCTTCTCTTTTTTCTCCCAACTAATTCTAACTTCTTTTTCTTTTCTTTTTAACTTGTCAGCATCACTTTCAACTTCAGTTCTGAACAGTATTCCTCTCATGCTTTGCTGATACCAGAACTCCGAAGACCAATAAATGGCATCTACATGATTTTGGCTATAAAAATACTTTTTTTAAAAAAAACAACAAAAAACAAGTAGAAGCTAGGTATTTTCTTCTCACCCAATGTCACCATGTATGCATCACTGGAAAGGGAACGTACTCACCACCCATGTCAAATGAATAGTCAAAATCATGCCCTGTTTTGTTTTCCTTCATAATTGGACCTGCATTTTTGGTATCTTTTTAATTTGTCTTTCTTTTTGGTTGGATAAAGAATGTGTGTCTTCCATATTTTCCAACTTCCTAGCTTCTCTATGATACTATGGGGCAAAATGAAGATTCTTCCCAGAGAGCGCTAGACTGAGTATTCTCATCCAAAATAGGTCTGCTGAACAAATGTCACTGTCGAGTGACATCTTTTTGTATAATTATCACTCTAGAGTGAGTTGTGCTACTAGATAACTGTTACCCAAGAATGAGACATCTGGGGTGAGCTCTGCTATTTCCTGGATCCCATTTTTTTCTATTTACTGGTTTTCATTATTTTTCTGGAGAACTTCCTCAGGGTACTTTCTCAATAAGGGTACAAAGGAAGTAGCCTTTCTGAAAACTTGTGTGCCAGAAAAATGTCATTATTTTGACATCACTCTTGCCAGTTTGTCTTCTATGGAATTCTAGGCACAAAAGTTTTCTAGACGTTGTTATGTATGAACAAACACATTGCTCCTTTGACTTCTAGCAATCATGTAACTGATGAAAAATCTGCCACCAATATATTTCTCACTCCTTTTTAGTTAAGCTAATTATTATGATCTAATTTTTTCCCTTTTAATATCATTTTCTACCCATAATATCCCCAAATTTCATAAGATTGTACCTAGATATGGGTTTTATTGGGCCTCTTTAATCTGAAAATGTAGTTCTTTCAGTTCTTTGATTATTTTCATTCTGTACTGTTTTCTGTGTTCTTCCTTCTAGGAACTCTTAATGGTTATATTTTGATTATCTGTATCTCTTTTGTTCCTTCATATTTTCTGTTTCTTTTTGATCCATCTCCAGGGAGAGTCTTTCCACTTTATTTCCCAGCCTGTTTGCTGGATACTTTTGAAAGTCTTATTTTGTTTTCAAAAATCTCTTGTTATTCTTGGAATTTTCCCTTTCTCTGTAATATCCAATTCCCATTTTACAAATACACCTCAAATCTCCCTAAAGATGTGGCTACAATTTTAAGTGATTTCTTTACCATGCTGACTTTGTTTTGTCCAGAGTTTGCAGAATTTTTCAACGTTCCTTAGTTCTTCTTGGTTATTTTTTTTTTAAAATGCTTTTCCCTTGCTCTTTCCTTCTCCCCTCCATGTCTGGGGATTCCTAGCTGAACATTTACACTTAAGAATCAATTTTAACTATTGACTTTTACAGATATTGGTTGGGTTTCCTCTGCTGTTGCATGGATAGGTCTTTATCTCCAGCCAGTCTTTATGAGCAGAAACTTTGGGTACTTGAGTAGGGGTCTCACTCTCAGTAGAGAGTTAGTTAATAGGCTGAGGGGCACTTATTACCACAAAAAGAGGAATTTTATTTGGAACACCAACTCTTACGTCTCCTCAGGCAGTTTATTCAATTCCTTTATACAAGAAACAACCACAAGAACAACAACAGTGAATTTTTAACTGGTACCAATATGAGGCTACTTGTGTTCTGTGTACAAGGGTGGGGGGGTAGAATACGATGGGGGTGAGTTTTCCAACTGGTATAATTCTCTTGTAGATAGACTTTTCCAGTGCATGAGTCTCTTTTGGGGTTATGTTGTTCAGATCAGCTTATATTCTGTCTGAAGGGTACCTTTGCTCTTTCAATTCATTTTCATGCTTCATCCACTTTCTCTCTCCCAGAAGTGTGTTGAGATCTTCTCCAATGGTAACCAAATACCTTCAGTTTGCTTGATTGGGATTTTTCATTTCTTTTCTGTGTTTCTTGATGTCAGCTTCAGTGGGGCCTGGGGAGGAAAGGAGATAAACACGCACGTTCAGTCCATCATCTTAAACTGGACACCCTGCTTGAGACTCACAGGCAGGTGGTAACTTTATATATTTAAATGATTCCAGAGCCTCACTGCTAAAAATGGATTAAAGAGGGAAAGAATGGGTATGATTTTATTCTAAAAGATTGAAAATCTAATTTCTTCTCAGAGAACATGCAGTATCTGAGATTTTTAGAAGTCAGATGCTCACCAAAACAGGCCACTTTTCTGTATCTAGAGAGAGTGCTTTTATTGCTTCTCGGCCTTTTGGCTAAGATCAAGTGTAGAGAGTGCTTTCATGGACAGAAACTAAACCCAGTGCTCACCTAGCACAGTCTCTTGGGACGCACTCCAGTAGCCTCCCTTATACTTTTTCTTTGTACAAGGATTTGGGATAAACAAAGGGACTTTTCATTCTGATAAAATGAGATGAGGGATAAGAATAAGGAGCCAAGGCTCTAGTGAGTAGGAACATAATGCTTTTTCTGTTTGCTGATTTTTCCTTATCATTTATTTGGTTATTCAAAACACTTTAATTAGAACTCTCATTCTATAATCAGAATGCCTACGTTCAAATCCCAGATCTACCGGTTATTAGTAATAGAACCTTATGTAATGTATTTAACCTCCATAAAATTCAGATCTCTATCATAAAATGAGAGTGATCACAGTTTCTACCTCATAGGATTATTGTGAAGATTAAATTAAGCAATTTATAAAAAAACAGTACAAATATCTGGCACATACTCAATACTCCAAAATACAGGGGTCCTGGTACCAGTGTGGTACCTGTTAGGAACTGGGCTGCACAGCAGCTTTGTCTGTATTTACAGCCATTCTCCATCACCTGCATCTCCACCTGAGCTCCACCTCCTCCTATCAGATCTCAGTGGCACTAGATTCTCATAGGAGAGTGAATCCTACTGTGAACTGTGCATGCAAGGACTGTAGATGGTGGTCTCCTTATGAGAATGTAATGTAATAACAATAGAAATAGAGTGCACAATAAACGTAATGTCAAAAGGTTGAAGACAGCTTCCAAAGTGGATAGAAACTATTTTAAATGTCAGATGAATGAATGTGCAACATCTATGTTTGAAGAATTTAGACAAAAGATTTTCATGAAATAAAAGGAAAACATTCTAGGATAGAGAGATGACATTATGAAGAAAGGCAAAGAAAAACATTATGTGGATGAAATCTTATTGTACACACATTGTAAATAAAATGGTGTATTAACATAAATAAAGAAGTAAGCTAAAGGAAAACTAGTTGGATGTAAACAACATTAATTCTAGAGGCTCAATTTTAGTTAAAACTATAAAGAAAAGGGAACGCAAATGAAAGTAAATGTAGATGAAACTTATAAATGAAACTTAGAGATGAAACTTAGAAATGTAGATGAAAAGTTAGGAGGCTCTTTTATGTAATATAGAAGAAAACTGAGGAGGATCTTTTTATGTGTGGTAAGTAAAGATTGGGTTAGTTATATTTGGTTATCTTGTTCCAAAGTAAAGTTTTCTATATGTGTGTGGTAACTCTTGATAGTGATTGTACCTTGAATCTGTGTCACTATCAAAATATACCTGCCATCATGAAGCCACATCGTTTGGTAGGACGGAGGTGGAATTCTCCTTATTTTTGTTAAGATTTCCACCCTTAATTTAATCAGAGAAGGAACATGGCCTGAAAGATAGAATTAGGTAGGGAGGCCAAACTGTAAGTAGCTTTTAAAAATCCCACCGTACGTTTAGAGTCCTTCCTTTAGAGTCATAAAAGAATCTGAGGGTTCTTTTGGGGGTTGGTGTATAAACTATAGGATGGGACAGGAGAGGTAACAATTATGTACTGTGTATTTCCAAAAGCTAGAAGAAAAGATTTTCTTTCAATAGTATGATGAAATGACAGATGTTTGAGGAGACAGATGTGTTTAATATGAGTTAAACATTAATGGTATTCCATTTATATATATATAATATATGTATACTTTTTATACTTTTATGTATCAATTAAAAAAACAAAAAATTACAACTGTACCTGTAAATATCATCAAAAAGTGACATCAGACTTTAAAATGATACTGAGTTACTTAGATATGACAGCAGCTTCAATTTCCTCAACACAGCTTACTGCCAGGTACTGTTCTACTCACTTTTAGAGGCAATGTAAAATGGAATTTTCACAATAATTTCAAGAAATATATCCCATTTTATAGAATGAAGAAACTGAGTCACAGAGAAGTTAAGAAACTTGCCAGGGTCATACAACTAATAGGTGAAAGACCCAGGATTTGAATGCCAGGCATGTACTTGTAGAAATGATGATCTTAACCACTTAACCTCTAAGCTTTGGGAAAGGGATGAAGGCAGGATATTGTGATTCTGCAGAGCACCATGAAGTAAGGCAATCTCTCAGATGCCATGCACGGTACAGTTTATGAACTCTTTAAAATTATCCACTTGCATCTTTGTGACAATTCTGAGAGGCAGGGATTTGTATCCCTGTTCCACGTACAAGAAAATGAAAGTACAGAGAGAAACCAAGAGCGGATCCTAGCTCTGGATTTTTCTCACTATACCAGGCTGATTTTCAAGTGCTTTGAAAACTACCCAGGACAAATAATATATGAGGCTTCAGGGAACTGTGTGGTTGTCATGGTAAATTTGTATTCCAGTAGAGTTCTATGGTCAGATTTCTGGATCAGATGATCAAAAATAAATCCAGAGAGAGTCCTTAGGATGTGTAGATGAGAAACACCCTCTATGGGCTTTAGCTCATGAGGATGGCTGAAGCCTGGTATAGACTCCCAGACTGGGCCATAAAGGGTCAGGAAGGAATCTGACAGCTGAGAGTAAAGAAGCAGGATGCTTAGTAGAAGGCCTTATTCCTGAGAAATCCTGACTCTGCTTTTGCCGTGTTCTCAACCCACTTCCTAGAAACAGAAGTTGATGATAAGATACAGGGGCAAGCCCAGAACCCTAGAGGACAGAGGTGGAGGAGTGAATCTCACCTCTGCCTACCTCCCCAAACCTCTCTACCTGCCACCTCGATGGGCACTCCTTACATCTGTGTGAGAAGGTACAATTTCATAATATTTTCCTTCCATTCAGGCAGGTAGGCCAGGCTGGTAGCCACTTCCTTCTGGATGGGCCAGGCCCAGGCCTCAAAGAATGGAGCCAGATTCTTCTGCACTTGGTGGGAGAACATCTTGACCCACAGATTCATTTTGTCGACATTATCTGTGGGCAAGTTGGTCTGGTTCCTATACTCAGTGAAGAGATGGATGAATGGCTCCCAACCAAAGGCCTCCTGGAGCTGGAACGAGAAAGGTGAAGCCAGTTGAGACATCTAATTTACAACAAAGGGGGCTCATCAAACACAATAAGTGAATTTAGTGTATTTAACTCCTAAACATTAACTCTGTATCTGTCATGACCTCTCCTGTTTTACACACTGGCTTCACGCCCTACTCTCTCACTGTCTAATCATCTTAACATCCTTGGGGTTTGTAAACAATCAGTGACGGCCTTGGTAATACTGTAATAGTTATTATCAATATTTTCTACCAACATTATTATTTACCTATCTTATAAAATCATGGAAGTAATGTTGGACATTACACAAAGATTTAAAATTGCCTAAAGTGGAATGCTCCTGATTATCTTTCAGGGTTGCAAAATTAAACCCCTAACATTTGGAAACTCCCTCCCCTATCCTGAAATCCTCAACCATAGGTCTGTGTCCATTCACACAGCTATTAAAATGGCCTTTGGGGAGGATGGGGGAGAAGTGAGCCAGGTAGCTGCAAAAGACTATAGAGAGTCTAACCAGAATTAGGAGTAAATTATAATTTTAGAAAGAGTCAGCCATCCTGGGAGAAATGGGAAGAGCCCTGGCTAGCCAAGGTTACAGAACTTTCCATTTAAGAACAACTTGGGAAATTGACCAAGACCAACCTAACTTTACTTCATGAATGAGGAACATTTTTTCCTAGGGCAAAGTGTCCAGACAGAAAGGTGGAAACAGAGCCTCTCTGGCTGTTTACACCATTCTCATGGATGAACCAGAGTACAGCATGCTTGTCCTGAATCCAAGGCAAGGCCACTTCCCAAAGTGAGCCAGGAAATGACCTGGGAACTTGAGGGCTGAGAGCATGGGCCTCCAATGATAGTTCAAAGGCAAAGACAACTTCCATGCCCAGAGCAGTTGGGATTCTTGGGTTGCTTACGTAAGGCAGAATCTGAGGCACAGCCAAATCACAATGAGATGGTACATTCATCTTCGGGGAAAGTGGGTCATAATTCTTGTGAAGAGTATGTGTGTGTGTGTGTGTGTGTGTAAGGAAGGTTGGTTTTTAACAGCAATGAAGCAGGAGAGTTTGGCTTCAGTCTCAGACATGTCTCGTTCTAAAGCCAGAAAGAGTAAGTACAGTACTATATTTGCTTCTGCCAATTTAAAGATTTCTCAGTGCTCTCTGTCTACTGATATATCTCTATAGGGTTGCTGCTGAGTCTGTTAAATCCACTTTAGGGTCACGCCTAGGAATGCACTGAAAGACACTGTCAACAGGACTGTCATACTGGCACTCCGGCAGGGTTTTCTGAATGGGAAAAGGCAAATACACTGCAATGTCTCCTGGGTCGCTAGAATATCATCTAATGACGTGGCCCCAGTAGGGCTTCCCACCCTCAACTCTTGCTCAGTACCTGCAAATACGTTTCCAGTGCGGTCCAGGCATTCCAGTTCTTCACATTAGGCCCCTTGCTCAGGTAGATTCGGACTCTCTTCTCCCGAACTGGGGGCCACAGGGCAATATTGGCACGGCCTCGAGGAATGCCCAAGACTGTCTCATGCACATATACACACCACAAGTTGCAGGTGGCCTCAGTGGTGTGTGGTGGGAATTCCCACTCCTGCCGCTGCTGGTTGCGGCCCAGCTCATGCACAGGGCCCCACAGCCCCTTGGTTCTGATGAGCTTCTCGTTGATGAGCTCCTGCACAGACTCCAGGTGACACATGATGGGGTACCCTGCATGCATCCAGCCTGCGAAATGTAGGAGGGAGGAGAAAAGGGTCAGGTTTTCAGAAGTTCATGAAGTTCTTCTCTGAGCTCTTTCTTTTCCAAAATACCTGGTAGCTTGGACAGCTTCTGGCACCCCTACTACTTAAAAAGTTAACCCAAACTCAGACCTCCTGGCTTTCATCCCTGTGCCCTTATCTGTACTCCATCCTGAACCAGGGTTGAAGGGGAGAGGCTACAGGCTACAGATGGCCATTCCTGCCACTATGCTTTTTGTTTTTACAGGAGTGCTATTTCTATGGGATTCTGTGTTGTTATATCCTCTTCTCAAAATTCAGGACTTTTTGACTGTGGTTTCTCCTCTCATTATTAGATATGGATTTGCTCACAATGGCACTACCTTACAAGGATTACCTATGCAACCCCAAAAAAATGAGGATCTAGAGAAATTTCCATTATTCTTTAATGTCTATACAGCTGCTCACCCCCCACTTTTTAGGCTCTTGGATCCACAGGCAAAGAACACTTTATTCAATGTCTTTCACTGACTCTGAGCTAAGTCACTATCTTTACCCCTCCTTGAAGTCTCTTGAAGAACACCTCTGAAGACTCAGGTAACATGCCTTGTTGCTTTTGATGGCATCTCTTGACATGCTGACTTAAACTGTTACCTATTTCTTTTCTTTTTTTTTTGGTACCGGGGATCGAACTCGGGACCTTCCACTTTCAAGGCAGGCGGCGGAACCACTGAGCTAAATCCCCGGCCGGGTTACCTATTTCTTATGTGTATCTTTTCCTTTCCACTTAAATAGCCAGGAGTACATGTACTATATGCTTTGCAAGCAAAACATTTTTGCCCCCCCGGCTGTGGCAAGAAGGGGACTCGGGGGCCGCACACACAAGGTTCTCTTGGAGCACCCACCCACTGAGATCTGTACATCGGCCACAATCCTTTGGGGCAGACGCAAAGGGAAAGGCTCGGCACCCAGTCGTGCCACAGCCTGCATCACTTCATCCCAGAGGAGGAGCAGCGGCTCAGGGTTCTCCAGAGCACGCAGGTTTGCAGTTGGCACTGTGAGGATGATGTTGTTGGTGGCCAGCTCTCCCCAGGGACCTGGATTCTCCTGGATTTGTCTCTTCCACTCCTCCTGGGATGTTTCCCCTGGGAAAAGAGGCCAGAGAGCTTGAAACACACATTCACTCAAGTTATTGGAGGCAACTTAGACCCCAGATGGAGAATGGTCCAGATCAAACAGCCATATCCCCTCTCTCTAGCCACCTATGAAGTCCTCATCAGTGTGGTTTGGTCTTTATATCATTGGCCCAAAGCAGAATCTAAGGAAGCCACCCTCCCTCTTTTCCTCCCTCCACTAATCTGTGCCTTTCTTGTCCTTCACCAAACAGTCCACAATCACATCCCTGTCCCAGGCCCTTCCCTTTCCCTTGGGTTGCAGCCTACAGGTTCTGCTCACCCAGCTTGTAGTAGGGAGCATGCACAGCCCCCTTCACGGTGATGGGCACAGAACCCAGCTTGCTGTTCTGGGGCACGATGATATAGAGGAGTCCACCCCAGAGGCAGGTGATTGACTTCGTGGGTTTGTCCAAGCAGCACCGGTTAATCACGAGGGGCCCTCGGAACAGCTTGCTGGCCCTGGTCAGGTCATCCGTGTGGCAACCAATCTGTATCTGGAGTAGAGAAATCCCCCACCAGAGTTACCATGATGCATGTGTGGGCAAAAAAAGGAAGCCCAAGAGGCGGGCACTCAGGAAAAATCCTCGACCCCAAACACCATTGAGATAGTGTGTGAAGTTGAAAATGTGTGACAAACTCATGAAATTGTAGTATTCCTCATGGACAGGCGGACTCCATTATGGCTGGATATTCTCAAAAGGGATTCGAACAGCTTTGGGACCATGTGGAGACATTAATGTGAGAAGCAGCAGGTGCAGTGGTAAGGTTCACTCTGGGGAGTGCAGACTCCACAGATGGTCCAATGATACCTTTGCAACAGAAAGAATTTGAGGTTGGCTGCTGCAGGGTGGCAACTCTGGCACTGGGGAGGGAGCAGGGTGACTCTGACCTTTGCAGATTAGAGAGAGGGCTGGTGCAAGGCAGTGTGATCTGGCCAGTGTTAACAGAGGACTCTAATTCCTTCCTTGTTCCTGAGGAGTGCCATGAGGCTTGCATTTGATAGTCTTGGGATTGCTTACCTTAAGTTTTTGCTAAATAAGAGCCAGGACAGATACAGGCATAGGGAAGATCCTCACCATCACAAAGACCCGCTGGTGTGAAACAGCAGGATGACAATTTAATTTTAGTCATAGAATTCATGTTTGTGGAAGGGACAAAGCAGAGGGTAGATTTGAGATATTAAAGAATACTCCTTTTTTTTTTTTTTTTTTTTTGGTGTCATGGGAAAGAAGGTGGAATGAGAAAGACCTTGTGCTACAGTGGGAGATACACGTGGGCATGGATAATGAACTAAGGTTTATTGAATGCAAGCTGAGGGATGGAATACCTTCAGTTTGATAGCTATCCTACTCCTCACTCTATGGATATGACAAAAGCACAACCCTGAAGAGTCAGAAGTTGATTATTTTGGGATCCTGTGCTCTGAAATATATCAGGTTCATATTTAGCTTTTCTGCAACCTAGTTGCCTCATCCTTGAAATGGAGGTAACAATACCGACTTTGTACTGCCAGTAGGGTTTATGAGGACCCAATGAGCTATCAACCAGAAGGCAATTCGGGTGCTCTGTCACTTGGTGAGACAGATGGGGCATGGCCTCACCTTCAGATCAGCAGAGGCAGCAGCTTCGGGCAGTGAGACTTCTATGATTTGCCTTCCCGGGATGTAGAGGCCAGTGCTCATCCAGCAGTATCGGGTGCCTGCAGAGAGCATAGAAGGGCAGACTTTATCCCTTCTCCATGACTCTGCCCCACACAGTGCTCCACAGACCCTGCCTGAGCTCTGTGCAACTCTTCCCCTTCATGCCTGTGGTGCCTTGACTGAATTCTTTCCAGCAGCACCCAAAAGCCCAGTCTTTATTTTCTCAAAAGTGTGTTACAAAGGATGGAGCCACCCTCTTCGAGTGGTCAACTCCCCCATATGAGCTGCTACAGTCACAAGCCGCTAATCCACTCATCCTCCTAATGCTGATGTCTCAGCCCTTTGGTCTTACCTGGATTGGTGCAGTTGACCTCAACGGTGATGGGAGACTCCAAGGGGCGCAGGTAGGGGCTGCTGTACATGTCTTCGATTTCTGGGACTAACAGAGAGAGGTCACTTCCAGAGTGGGCCAGGCCCGTGGCCAGGGAAAGCATAGCCCCCCTGCAGCAGTCATTGATAACAGGGTTCTCTCGGGTGGCGACTGGGAGACGATAGCGGCTCAGCAGCTTCCGTAGAAGCCGATGCACGGACATGTAGGCTGGGATGTCCTCGGCGGGGATCTGCAGGAACGCTGCGCCATCTGGTCCCAGCTTTGCCAGCCAGCCCTTCTCCACGTTACCTCTCTTGCGGCCCATGATAACCTGGAACTCGGCTAGAGTGGAGCGGAAGTGATAGGTCCTTATCCCTGCTTTAGGGGTACGAAAGGGCCCGGGATTGAGGCTTTGGCTTGTGATACTGATGCCAAAGGGGTTGAGAAGGAGGTTTCCTGGAAATCGAGCCAGAGGGGACACTCCGGGGTTCTTGAAGGCCCACCACCAAGCTTGGGCTCCAATGAATAACCCACCGCCCTCTGCTACAAACTCCTGCAGCTCTTTGACCCCCACGTCACTCACGGGTTCAAAGCAATAGACACTCGCATCGCTGGTCAGATGGGGCTCGATGCTGGTGTCTATGCCCCCCACGGCAAGCAGGCCACTCAGTGTTCGAAGCTCGGTCTGTACCACGATCTTGCCTCTTCGGCCCCCATCCAGCCAGCGGACAGCATTGAGAAGAAAAGGGCCTAGTTTCCCCACGGTGAATAATACTTTATGGCCAGTCACAACCACTCGGCCCCGGCCATAGCGGGCAGCCGCTATAACACAGCCATGGTAGGAATCCAAGCCCAGAGGAAAGGCTAAGGCCCCATGCACTAGCAGCTGGGATGGAAAACAATCCGAGTTGCTGATGTCCAGCTCCGAAATCCCATGCAGGAGCTCATCTCTGTCCTCAGACAGGTCATCTTCACAACTGCAAAAGACACGTGGGTGCTGGATTAGAGGAACAGCCCTACTACAGCTCTTAGAACAATGCCAAGTATACAGCAAGTACTACAGATGTGTGAGGAAAGCAGAGCAGGCAGGTGTGATTTCACTGAGCACGGAGATTTATTGGAGTGGGGGAGAGGTGAGTAGCATCAACTCTAGTGCAACCACCCGGCTGTCTTAACCCAGTGGGGCTCAACAGTCTACATCTGGATTTCTACTCATTCACTGCCTGCCCAACAGCGGTGGTACATGCTATGTTTTTTGTTGTTTGTTTTGTTTTTGTGCAACCATGTGTTTACTTTCTTTACCCTAGCAAGTAAACCACGTTTACTTTCTATGGGGAATCCATGCCTAGAAGATCTCCAACAACCCCCCAAAAGTAAACAGAGACCTGGTTGCCTAGTGGGATGAGGTATTGGGAGTGGTATGATCTCTGTAAGTTTAAGGTTCTAGAGATATTCTGCTATTTGTGTTAGGAAAAGTGTGGCAAACGTATGATCAGAAGGCAGAGATGAGGAAACACCAGAAACAAACAAACAACAGAGAAAATAGTCATAGGATTTGTATTATACTCTCTGGGGCTATCAGAGGTTAAACTGATTGGAAAACTGGTTCTCACAGTGGACCCTTTCCTGAAGATGAAGGCATCAACCTACAATTCGGAGATAACTCTCCCTCTCTGTGAAGCACTAACCGTTAAAATCATCAACTAGCTCTTCTTGCTCTGATTCTGGGTTTACCAAACAACCTTATGAATATAATCTTGCTCCCCATGATAAACTGCCCAAGGATGGCAATAAGCCACTGGTCAGCCCATCCAGACTATTCTGTATTGGTGACATTTATTTTTCTTCAGCAATACCTTGGGCAATCTTTCTTTAACTTGATAATTCTAAAAAATGAAGTTTTAGAAAATTTCAAATATGTATACAAAATTAAATGGAAATAGTTAATTGTTAGAGAGTTGTTAAAGAGTTATAATTATAAATTTCATACAACTATTATTTTTTTAATGAAGTCAGTAAAAAGATGCACTACTGTGTTCTAAATTAATATATCAGCATCAGGATGTTATGTGAGCCTGATGTGAAAAAATGAGTTACTAAAACTGCAAAGCCAAGACTCAGATCCCAAGTCCCTAGAACTTCATATAGGTAATGATATGAGATCCTGCTCAGTGCTGAACCAAAAAGCACTCTCGGAGACATCTGTTCATCTGTACCAACTGCCATAACTTCTGTATTTGAGTTAGGAGGAGCAAAATAATAGTGTCATAAATTGAAAAAATATCCATTTTGTTAAGTTTTTCTTTTTCACCATATTCTGAAATGAAACAAATGTTATTAAGATAGAAATAAATCTATAATAGTAACATATTTGGAAAGGGTGCAATCAGTAAATTAGGATAGCACAGTATTTATGGAGAACATAAATCGAATGGAATCAGATGGAACAGAAAATCATGAGAACAGAAGGATCTGAGACTACACGTGTATGGAAGAGAAGACCAAGAAAAGAGAAAGACCAAGATTATCATTTGTCCTGAGAAAAGATATTGTAAAAGTAATATTGATTGATGTAGAATTTCACCACAATCTAAATCATAAATAGACAACATCTGATGAAAACAAACAACATGAATGAAAAGCACCAAACCAAAGAAAAAACAAACTTCTGAGGAAATCATGGTACATGGAGAAGAAAATTCTAAATACATATGGCTTGTCCCCAGCAAGATTTAAGAAGATATGTCATCTCTTTTTTAAAAAACGGGAGAGGCTTATGTAAAAACTTACTGATCAGAATAAAAATGTAACTGCCAAATAGATAATCCCAATTTTGACACACAAAAAGAAAATATGTCAAGACATAGCTAAAGACAGCGAATAAGCAAACTGGAAAGTTTAGTAAGGTGATAATTCAGGGAGTAATTCTAAAGGTAAAAAAGATTAACATTTTAAGAGGAAGAACAGATTGAAAGGTCTAACATATAGCACCTAGGAGTTCCAAAAAGAAAGAACAAAGAAAAGTGAGATAAACATGTCCTTGGGCTCAAAACAGATCTTAATCTTCAGAATGAAGTCACTGTCTGAATAGAATGCAGTGAAAATGAAACTGAGCACAGTATAAATTTATGAACTCCAAGTATAAAGAAAAAAAAATCTTATAAAAGCCTGTAGAAAATAAAGCAAAATTGCCTACAAAGAAATAAGTATTTTAGCTGCATAAGACTTTTCTCAGCACAAGAGGACACTGAAATTTACTGCACATAAAACTTTTCCAAAAAAGTTATTTAGAGTTATACTGAAGGTCCAGAGAACACAAAACTGAATGCAACAGAGGAACAAATTTGCTATAAAAAGCTACAATGGGCAATCATACTAGTGAAATTACTAACTAATGCTAAAAACTGCTGATCAAGTCCTATGACACTTGATGTAACTGGTAAGAAAGAATTACAAATTAATAGAGCGCTGATATTAAAACAAAGAAAACAAAGCAAAAATTAGTAAAAACAAGCTGGTACCAAAATAACATATGATTTCTTCAAAATCTTGGAGGAAGGGGATAGACAGAGAAGGTGAGACATATAAAAGTTCTGATCTTGAAAGGTAAGGTAAATTGTATAAACAAGTTAATTCTCAAATCGGATAAAAATGTTTATTTAAAAATTAAAAATAACACATTAAATATGTACATTAGTATATAATAAAGATGCCTCTTAAATTACTTTGGAAAAGATGGATATTTTCAAAAAGGTGTTGAACAACTGGCTAGCCATATGAGAAAAGATAAACTGGACCCATACTTTATAAAATGCACAAAGAAAAAATCTTCAAATGAGTTGGAGTTATTAATTTAAAAAATAAAACCAAACATATGAAGAGAAAACAAGGGTTAAGTTTTTAATAGTCTGACCCAAAATCAGATATGATAATAATGACTGATGAAATCAACTGTATATACAAAGGCATTTTAGGTAAGAATACTAAGCACATTCAAAAGGCAAGAGCCACAGGTCATATATAGGTCTTATAATTTAAAATGTAAAGACATCATAAATTGGAGAAAACACCCAAAACACAGTAAGAAAAATAACATAACACACAAGCAGGTGCTTCATAATTCAGAAGCAATAAAACACACAAAAAGATAACTGATCTTATTCAGTGTAAGAAGAATGCAAATTAAAATTATATTAGAGTATTTTTCCTGACTATCAAATTGGCTAAATTCAAAATTCTGATAACTTCTCCATTGAGCACCTCTGGGGTAACTGGCATTCTCTTATATTCCTGATGGCAATAGCAAATAGTGCACATCCATTTAGAGAAAATTCTGGTAATTTCCAGCAAAAGTTTACATACATTTATTTTTTGACCTAGTAATTCAACCAGTAGAAAATTACCTAAAACATACAGTTCCAACAAAATAGAATAACAGACTTATTCATTTCAACATTATTTATAATAGCAAAACATTGAAAACAACATAAATGTTAGAAATTGGCTGAATAAACTATGGTGTATATTTAGAGTGGAGTATAACACTGCTACAAAAATAAGGAAAATTTCTGTGCACTGTCAGAGAATGACAACCACGTTATACTGTATTGAGAAAAGCATTACAATATACACAAAAATAAACTTAGTATGGATTAAAGATCTGAAGAAAAGCCTGAAATCAGAAAATTCCTAGAAGAAAACGTAGGGTAAGAGCTACTTAGTGTTGGTCTAGAGAATGATTTTTTGGCTATCATGAGAAAAGCACAGGCAACCAAACCCCGAAGCAAACAAGTGAGACTACATCAAACTAAAATGTTTCTTCACAGCAAGGAAAGACAAAACCCAGCAAAAGGAAAAATCAGGCTATGGATCAGGAGAAAAATATATGCAAGCTGTATACCAGATGAGAGGTCATAGTCATAATATATAAGGAACTCATATAACTCAATAACAAAATAATAATAATTAACAATAATCCAATTTTAAAAGGCCAAAACACCTGAATAGACACAGTTATCAGATCTATGAAAAAACACTCAACATCATTAATTATCAGAGAAATGGAAATGAAAGCCATGATGAGAACACCTCATACTGTGAAAATAACTATTATGTAAAACTCAAGAGATACATGTTCATGAGGATATAGAGAAAAGGGAATTCTTACACATTGTTGGTAGGGATGTAAATTGGTACATATAGAGTATGTTCTAAATTGGTACATGTGGAATTGTCTACAAAATAGAAAATAGTTTGAGGTTCCTTGAAAATTTTAAAACGGAGCTATGTATAACTCAGCAATCCCGCTGTTGGTTTGCACCCAAAGGAGGTGGAATCAACGCCTTGGAGTGACAACTGCACTCCACTCACACATGCACTGTAATGTTTTTCACAGTAGACAAGATACAGTATCAGCATTAGGTCCATCAGTGGATGAATGGATAAAGAAA